AAGCAAAATTAGCTCATATGGCCAAGTCCAACTTGAAGCCATTAGGCTGGCCTAAATTTCGTTCAGACGACCCATGCGAGCTTTAATTCCTTCTTGAGCATAATTCTTTTTGAATTTTTATATATATTTTTAAAATTTTGAAATAAATTATTTTATTTTATTCTTAGTCTCATTTCGTCTAAATTGAACTATTTTTTATTTTTCTTTAAACAAAAGATTAAAATAAGACCTCGTTGGAACCCTCCCTTTTACCAAAAAGTCAAAAAGTTTCTAAATTAGCTTAAAAAGCAACAATCCATACCAAAAAATCAAAAGATATCTCTTTTCTCCTCTACTTTTTGCAACTTTTCTTAACAGTCAAAAAGTCAATCCCAAACAACTAGTTTTTTTTAGTTCATATTTTAGTCCAAAAATAGTCAAAAAAAATTCTAAATTACCTTTCCAAAAACGCGGCTTAAAATCAAACTAAAAAAAAACCCACAAAAAAACAAAACTCTAAAGAAAGAGCATATGCATAGCTGTTCTATTATTAGCTAAATAGTCGTATTATATTATTAAAATTGTTTAAATTTATTTCTCCGTATAAATCATTTAATTTTAAAATAAATTAATTGATATATAATCAGGATTTTATTATAGTATTTACTTTAAAGACAAAGTATTATGAGCCTAAATAATAGATGACAAACTTTATCTAATTTTTTTACAGACAAAGTAAAAACATTATGATTATTAATTAATTTTTTTTTAAATAAATAATTTTTATACACCAAAAACTAACAAAATAAAAATTAATCTCCAGAGTAAGACATGATACTTCCATGTTTTATAATGCTGTTGTTTATTTGGAAAAAATTTGGAAATTCTCTACAACAAATCTTCAAAAGTAATCAACAAACAATTGTTTTCAAAAAAAATCTAAAAAATTTTTTGTTTACTTCTTTCCAAAATCACACACTCTCTCATACACATTAATCAAATCCACTTTTTTTAAACTTCTCTCCAAAACCAATTTTCAAAACCCATCTAAAAAAGATAAACCAACAAGTTTCGTACTTTTTTATTCAAAAAACTACTTCTCCCAGATCAAACCAAACCATACCCCCGATAATTTTTCCTTCTTTCTTCGATTATTTTTCCCATATTGAGAAAGTGGTATAGGAAAGTTTACCTTTAAAAATACTAAAATATGTACTTAACGCTTATTTTTTTTATCTCTATATTTTTAAATTTCATTATCCTTATTTTAACTATATTCAATTTTTAAGTACAAATATTAACTTGCTCACCCACCCCTCCCTCAAATTAGATATTAGGCGGGAGCAGGAACTACATCATGACCCGTTGTCATTCTATCTACAAATTACAAACCTTGTTGTCTTGACTAAACGTACTGTGACACATTACTTTCGAGCTAAAAGGCAGAACTTCACATTTTGAATTTAAGCAATCTAGCATTCGCATTGTGCCTTAAATACACAAATGTTGCTATATAAATTATAATCATCAAATCTTATTTGTTTAATTGATTTTCCAAAATATTTTACTATTTTCTTTTTTAAATAAAATAATGACAAAAATCAAGATCAAAAATTATTTTTATTTAAAAAGAGAAAACCATTAAACAAGATATTTTTTTTATTTTTTATTTTACCAAAAGTTTAATGTTTTTAAAAAAAAGAAAGTGAATTAAAAAAAACTCAACAACCAAACAAAATCTTAGGGTTTTCCAAATTTTTATATTTTTTTTCAAAAAAAATAAACGCTAGTAAAAGATTTTAATGTTTACCTTCATCAAGAACTAGTTTGATATTAAGAGTGTCCAATAATCATATTAATGTAGGCATTATTTATATATTTTTTCACAAATATTGAACATCTATTTATCTTTGTGAAGCATTTTAAAACAAATTATCTATGCATATAACTAAAATAAATTTACTTAACTTAAATCTGCATAATTTATTTATTATTATGCTAACTATATATAATAAATAAGTTAGATAACACGTTAAGCTATGTTTGTTTTTTTTTGGCTAAAAAAATACAAAGATAAAATTATACATAACAATAAGATAATAATCACATCCAAACATATCATAGGAGCTTCATTGCACACACCCATTTCCACTCTGTGCAACATCCTTCTCAATACACACACTTAAAAAATTAATCTCAATTTATTTGCTAACACACACTTTATATCCACATCACCCTCAAATTGTAAATCATGCACACACACACACCACACCCCCCAAACCCGTTATCACATACAAACCCCCTCAGACCCCCAAACCCAATCTCTCAACACACAACACACCATCTCCCACACTTCTACCTTCTCCCCAAACCTACAACATCATTGAAACTTCATTAAGCATTAAACATCTCATTAACCATTTAAAGAACATCTCACCGTGCAATCATGAAGGAAATTCTTCACATTTGAGAACTTAGTGTTAGTTTACTATTTTTAATCTCATTCTTATTTCATTTTAAGTAGGTTGTTTTTACCCATTCGAATCGAACGGCATAAGCCCACCGAAATGAGCAAATCTTTCCTCATCGAAACTGGTTTTTCGAAAATAAACAACTTGTCGAAGTAGCATTCCAAAAAATTATCAATTTTATTCGATATAGAATTCCAAAAGTTTTTTCATTTTTTCGAGATACAACTTTAAATCCGAATAGATTTAATCGACGACATTCAACTTTCGAAATAATTGTTATTCATGATTGCACTGATGACCACGGTGCATGAATTATCAAGATTTAGCTAACATGCCCAATGTAATATATTCCTCTTTTATATGCATTGTAACTTTTCTTTCTGATATGTTCCCCCTTAAAATTGATCTTCTTTTTCAATACAACGATTGCACATTGCAACTGAGGATTGACACATCCTATCATTTAGCTGTACAGACGGCATTCGACCAATTCTCATCGACTTTAATCAGGCTATCGAGGTTTTGTGTAAACTAATGAGAAAGCTAAGAATCAAGAATGAGGGTTTAGTGTTAAACAATGAATAAAGCTAACAATAAGGTTTAAAAGTATGAGGATGATGTGGAGGTTGGTTAAACTGAGATATGGAAAAAGATAGCTAGAAATGACTTGGAGCTTCAACAGCTTCAACTGAGTTTGGATGTGGATGTGCAATAAAACTTGTTTATTTGATTATGTGTAGTCCTATAATAATATTCACTTAGATGAAATTGTATAAAAATAGTATCATTAAGTGTGTACACAAGTGGAATGCGTGCTGTTAAATAGCTTTCTAATCATTATATTTTTTTCTCACAAAGTAAAAAACTAAAAAACAAAAAAACTAAACGAGGCTAAAAAAAGCCAAATAAGTCAGGCTATTTTAGCTTTCTTCCCAAATTAAATTTAATTATTTAGTCATGTTTGGCATAGGTTATTTTGACTATTTAGTCACAAAAAATTAAAATAGCACTAAAAAAACTAATAAGTTAAATTTACATCTAAATCATAATGATTTTATTTTTCTTCCAAAAAAAAAAAAAATACTCATTCCAAACAAAATTTTTAGTGTGAGACTAAAAAACTAAAAAAAAAAAAAAAAAAAAAAAAAAAAAAAAAAAAAAAAGAGAAGCTACCAAAGCAATCATATCTGTGGAGACCATTCACAATTACGCAGCAAAAAACATAACATGTATTATAGTAGCTTTTCAAAAAATTGGTTAAAGTTGATTTTTTATTTTTTTTTAATAATAATTTTATAGATAAAAAATGTGAGAGATGATTGACGTAAATTAGATTAAAAACTAAAACTGACTTTTAACCAGTTTCCAACGTGCCCCTAAATATGGCTATCATAATTATGATATTATTCATCATATTATGGGCCTTCCGTCAGTTTTGTTCAATAGTAATCTATTTGATCTTAAATTTTATAATTTGTGCTGATCAAAAACAAAGAAAATATTATAAACTCCAAATGAATTACTAAATATTCTACTAAACCTCTTACATAAGTGTGGAACTCACACTCATTCGATTTGTGTGGATCTTACATACATGTGAAATGTTTAATAAAATATTTGATACTTCATTTGGGATTCCTAGCCTAACTCTAAAAACAATCAACAACGGTGAATAAGGTTTTGGATAAAAAATGATTGTGATAATTTCCAAAGGACAAAATTAACAATTCATAGTTTATTTTTTGTAATCCTAATTTTTCTTTGCACCCAATTGTACTATATCACACGGTCTATCTTCATAAAGAAAATTTGAGTATTGGGTTATATAGGGTTGTTTTTGGAGAGGTGGTTAAAAGTTATTTTAAAAAAAAAAAATATTTTTCTTCTTTTAAAAGTAAAAAACATATTTTGTCCAAATATGTTTATTTTTCATTGACCATTAAAAATATGAAAAATAATATAATGATGTATCAAGAAGATAATTAATTACCAATCATATTCTTAATACATCACTAAATTTTAAAAATGAATCTAATTTTTTAACATAAATAACAATACTCAAAATATTTTCCGTCAATTTTCATTTTCCTCATATCAAACCTCAAAAAAATATTTTCCGTCCTCTTCCCTTTTGTCTTTTCCTTAGAGCATCTCCAATGCACTAGGCATATAATACTTGTTAGTTAAAATGCCTAGTATGATTCACTTTTTTCAATTCCAATGCACTAGGCATATGATTAGGCATTTTGGCTCAACTCATATTCACTAGCTACATGTAGCTAGCCTTCAACGCTAGGCAAAATGTATTCAATCATTAGGATCATTTCTCTCCATCTTTGTTGTTGACGTGGCATTCTATAAAATTAATAGTGTTTGGAAAAATAGCTAAAATAAAGAGCATGGTTGGAGTAAAAACATAAAACAGTTGATAGGCAAAATAAAATATATACTTTATAGTAATATTTAGATAGGTAAAATGTCTACTACCGTTGGAGATGCTCTTAAGCAAGATGGGTCCATGTGAGTCACGAAACACGTTCATGTGGAAGAAAAAGGAGAATTCAAATTATGTACAGCTTTTCTCATCATTCAATCCGCGTAACACGTACTCACATCATTGAAAATTGAGCATTACAAATCTCCAATTTTCAAACTCACTACTCACCTTTAATCATGAACTCAGTTCAGAGTTCAGACCACCATTATTATTTTCTCATCTTCCTCCTCCCTTCATACCCAACCAACTAAAGGCTACTCCTCTGCAACAAAACACATTTGAGAAAAAAAAAAAAGGGCTATAAGCGCAGTGTTCCATCTACTAGCCAACTTCGCACCCTACCTCCAACAAGAGGCCAATTTGTTGACTGGAGTTCGAAAAGAGATCCAATACATCAGAGATGAATTCGAGCGCATGACAGCTTTCCTTGGAGTTGCCGATGCTACGGAAGAAAACAACCCCGAACTCAAAGTATGGGTCAAGCAAGTCTGAGAAGCTGCGTACGACATTGGAGATGTTCTCGAGTTGTACATGCTTCGCCTCGGACATCATCATGGTGCTGGATTTCGCAGTTTTCTTGGTAAGGTTTCTTGCTTTATTAAGACTTTAAAAGCTCGTCACCAAATTGCTTCGGAAGTTCAAAGAATGAAGGCCAGAGTCATCGATATTTCGAAGGGACATCAGAGATACCATGAAAGACATGGTATGTTAGAGCAAGGCTCAAGCTCAAGGTCCACTGGTCTTAACACAGCATGCCATGATTATCGTGGCGATGCCCTTCTACTCCATGAATCTGAGCTTGTGGGCATCGACATGCCCAAATCGCAACTACTTAGGTGGTTGGTGCATGAAGACCCCAGACTCAAGGTGTTTTCCGCATCAGGAATGGGCAGATTAGGCAAAACAACACTGGTTAAAAAGGCCTTTGATGATGCAGTTGTGAAGAATCATTTCCAGAGCCATGTTTGGATCACTGTTTCTGAATCCTTCAAGATTGAGGTGCTCCTAAAAGGCATCATCAAACAACTTTTTGAAGAAATCAAGCAACTAGTCCCACAAGGGATGGACAACATGGATACCAACAGCTTGAAAGGGATAATTAATGCTTTCCTGCAACAAAAGAGGTATGTGCTTGTTTTCGATGTTGTATGGGATATTCATGCTTGGCAATCTTTTAGATATGTGTTTCCCATAGGCAATTGTGGGAGTCGCGTAGTGCTGACAACCAGAAATGCAGATT